TGGTGTAATTAGTTGGAATAGAAAGAAGCAACCAATAGTCACATTATGTATGACCAAAGTAAAGTATATGGTAGCTATTCATACTAAAAAAGAAACAATTTAGCTTCAAAGGTTTTTTAAAGATATTGAATTTTCATAAGATGGTCTTTTAATTATTTTTAGTGATAATCAAAGTTACATTTTTATTTTAAGGAATTCTAAATTCTATGCTTGTATGATGTTATAATACATGTTGTCTTGTTTAGAAATGCACTGAATACGTGGCTGTAAAAGGTGAAGTTGTGTTTTACAAATATCGAAGAAATTCTAATAAGTTTCATCCATACAAAAAAAAAGAAATTTAAAATTTAATTCAAAAGTGCTTAAAGTTAATTCAAAGTGCTTAAAAACACTCTTTTTAGTAACCTCAACTATACATACATTTCAATTTTCTTATTACTTTCATAATTAGATAATTTTGATTTTTTCTTTGCAAGCCCTAATCTTAGTCAAAGAACTTTGGCAAGCTATAACAGTTAATCTGGCTGTCCACTTGATGCATAAGTCTTCTATATGCTTCAAAAAATTCACCCCAATCCAACTTATATATTATAAGAAAAAACCCAAAAATTACACTAATATCACTTGGTAGCCAACTTGAAAGTTGATGCAAATGTTCCAGTAGTGATTTCTCCTTCTCCAACTATTAACTTCAACTCAAAATCAATGTCTTAAAGTCTTCTAATACTATGCTAATTTTCACCTTGATCCGACTAGTAGATCTTTAGATATCATAAAAATCCTATGTAATCCCAAACTACCAACTTCTAATACCCTCTTGTACCAAAACTTAGATATCTCTAAACTGATGTTGTGTTGTAACACGACTATATGGTGAAAATATAAATGAAAAAGATTTATTAATATTTAGTCATTTTGGATGTTAGAAACAATGGCCAATTCCAATGCCAATATTCAGGGCCCAGTTAATGTCATCCCATTGTAAGCTGTACCACCGAACGTGACAACAGCGTATGCTCCTTTGGTGTCATCGAACCAAGTACCCTCCATACCAACGGGACAACCAGGATCATTTTCTAATCCTATATGGAACAAGCCTAGTAGGTATATACCAGTGGAGACATCCAATATGCCTGATGGAGGTGCAAGAAGACCACTTCGTTGTTTCCATTGTAGACAAATTGGTCATTATGCTAGTGAATGTCCCAATCCTATAGCCAATGATAATTATGCGTTCGTGTGTGGAAATAGCAAGCAATCAGGGCATACTTATCAGCAATGTAATGCTCTGTTCAATTTCAATAATCGGGATCAGCAGATCCAAAGCCAAGGAAAAATTGAGGAGATAAATCGAGGTCCTCAAGATTCTTTGGTATATTGGATGAAATATGTCCAAGCTATTCTTACCAAGAGTTGACAAAAAGGAAAAGGACCAATTCAACATTTGGGTAAGTCTGATGTGAAGGGCGAATTTGACCCAATTATGGGGACATTCAATCCAGGTCATGTTACGGGCCTCTTACCCAATATGAGACCTGACTCAGTTGGACAACCCAATGAGGTCCCGAATACAGAGGCTTCGGTTCTATTTCAAGCTATTTTGTTCTCTATGCCGTTTTAGGAGAAACATCCTTTCCATGGAAAGAACTTCTTAGAGGTAGGAATTCCATGGAAGCGAAGTATGTTGTTTCAATTCCGAATCCACAGCGGAAGAATAAGGGACTTCACGGAATTAAAGGAAAAGAAAGGAAAAGAAAGAGGGCATTCGGAGATCAGAATTTTGGAGTTAAGAGCTAGCTTCAAGCTCCTTCGAAAGGTATAAGACTTAGTTTCATAAGATTTGGGAGGGTTTTGTAATCGTTGCTCAAAGTCAGTGTTTGTATTGGTGAATTGGGTTTTTTTGCAATAAAGTTAAGGCTAGTACTTTTGACTATTTTGTGAAATTGGAAAAACATCTGCGATTGAAATTTTAGAAGTGTCTAGATGGTTGAGTATGCCAAGTGGATGCAAAAATTTGTCTTAATCTAACGGTGCGGATAGAGAATATTTGATCATTAGTGTAAAGAGGTATCAAAAGTCAGCATATTGGGGTCGTTTAGGATTTCTGTAATATCTACAGATCTATCAACTGGAACAAGGTGAATTTTGATGTGATAAGTTGAAGAATTAAAGGCAGAGCTGTATACAAGGTTTGAATGAGAATTAACTGTTGGAGAAGGAGAAATTGCAAGTCAAGGTTCATCATCAACTTTCTAGGCAGTGGTCAAGGGACATCAGTGTGGATTTATAACGTTTTCTTGCAATGTGTAAGTTAGATTGGATTGAAACTTCTTGAGCATTTAAAAGACTTACAAAGACACTAGCAATAGAAGTTTTACAATAATCGGATGATCAGATTGAGAATTATAGCTTGCCGAAGCTCACTGTCTAGGATTAAGATTTAAAAATTTAAAATTTTAAAATATATAAATAAATAAATAAATAATATATATATATATATAATAATACTAATAAAAATAAAATAAAATAAAACTAACAAATAATCCAAAGAATTTGTGCTTATAATATCTTGAAGTTATTAAAAATAGTATTTTTAAGCACTTTGTATTGGAATTAAGCTTTTATATTGAAATCCAAAATAGTTTGTATTTGGATAGTTGAAACCCACTAGACTACTTGGATACTTGCAAAACATCGTTTTATCTTCCACAGCTAGATGCCCGGTGCGATCTCAAGCAAGATAGCACGTAATACGACACCGCACCATTAGATTAGTACAAAACTTTACACACACTTAGCACACCTAATCAACCAAGAATTATCAAAATTTGAACTATAGATGTAATAATAATTATACAAATTAGCTAGGAGTGCTAGCCTTAATTTTATTGCATAAATCATAAGTCACCAATACAAACCTTGACTTTGAACAATAATTGTAAAGTCATTTCAAACCCTAAAAAAACAAGCCTTACATCTTTGGAATAAACTTCAAGCTAACTCATGAGTCATAATTGCTAATCTTTGAATGTCCTCCTATTTTATCTTAGGCAGTTATTTTAGTAGCTAGAGGTCTAATTTCGACCCTATCCCATACATGGTCAATGCCTAGATATCAGTCCTACCTATCCTAGAGGTTACTTAGTTTGACCTTACTCTCAACTTAATCTTAGTATCAACCATATTAATTGTTTATGTCTTTTATTCTATTTTTATTAATCTATGGCTTTTCTAGGGTAATAAAAGTAATTCTATAATCTAAAAGGTAAAATTACTAACCAACCTTTAATCTACTAGCTATGAAGATATGAAAATAAACTAAGAGGCTTTTATAAAAGTAATATTTAAATACCTTGAATTATTATTGAATCAAGATAATTAAATATTAATTAAATTTTTATTTTTGATTATATTTTATCATATAATTATATTATAATATGACAATAAAGCATTTCAAAATTTAACATCACTCTATTTGTAAAAAGATTGAGAGTGGCAACATCAACTTAGTTTTTTGCAAGATCCAAGACATGGTTGCAAATGTTTTGATCAAAAGTCTAACTCATGAAAAATATTGTAAATTCAAGGAGATGATGGACATCATCAAATTGAGTTAATCTAATATGTCATTAGGTGGGAATATTAATAGAGTATGTAATTCTTAGATATAATGTAGAATGAGTAGTTGACATCGCTTTGTCAATCGACAAGTTGTACCCATCATTTGTTGGTGGTAATACCATTTAGCTGTCATAGCCTAATAAGAAAACTATCCATATATTAATTGAACATCATTGACTAAGATAGTTGTGTATATGTTCATACTAGAAAATATATGTGATTAGATACTAGACTAGTAGTATAAGAATTCAAATTACAAGCTCATTTTGATAAGCAGTTTTACTTCTCTTCTCTTCATATATTTATACTTCTATTCTAGTAATATACTTCCTCATATTTTATCACACAAAGTCATTTGTTTGACCTAATATTTTAGAATTTAATAAATTTAGTTGCAAAAGTTTCATATTTTATTATAAAATTTATTTTAAAAAACTATTTAAAAAATACAATGTCTATCTTTGCAACATTAATTGGTAGTTGTTGAAATTGTATAGTATCCATACATATAAAATCTTAAAATATAAATTTAAATAGATTATTATTTTTATTATAAATAATTAAATTATATTATTCAAATCAATAAATATTTATTTATTTATTTTTATATAATATATATATTTAAAATCATATATTTAATATTAGAAATGAACTTTACAATACTTTATTCACTAAGCTATTTTAAAGATCTCACACATGATTCTTTAGAGTTTAGCTTAAAATTGCCACATATTATCTACATGTCTATACCAAACATTATTCAAAATCTTTTAAATAGTAGCCTTAGCACATAAGAAATGTGATGCTTGATGTAGGATCACAAAGTACAATAAAAAAGTTTTGTATGACTTAATGATATTGATTGCAACAAGAATGACATTTGCAAGCAAAAAACCAAAAACATAGTAGATGACAAAATTTACTGAAAACAAATTATGAAAATAAAAATCTTGCAAAAAATATAAAAATACAAAAATACAAAAATACAAAAATGGAATGAAAATATATATATATATATATATATATATATTGACACAAACAATTCCTTGACAAATCCAACTTCAACTACCAAAAAAAAAACGACAATAAAAATTTCAATGTAAGAAAAGATAAAGCATCATGTAGCAAAGTACACCATTTCAAACCCTAAAAACAAGAATTGAAACGAGATGCTTCGAACCTCAAACCCCTAACCAGAGGCAAACCAGCAAAGATGGACTCTCACTGGTTTTAGAAGCCCTAAAACCCAAGACCTGCAGTCGGTAAAATCCTTCATGTCCATCATGCACCCCAAGGCTGCCACTTGTGAAATGCTTTCTCCACCCAATCGGAATGAATTTGCCACTGTTCTTGCCATATCTCACTTCATAATCCCAGCTTGTGATTGGCTTGGGTGGTGCAAAGAGGGTTGCTGGATCTACGCTCTAGCAACAACACAAATGCTGAGGTGCAGTGTTAGAGATCGTGGAGCGTGTGCTGGTTGCAGCATTAACCCTAAGTGTAAAGGCTGACTTGGCGCAACCCTTCAGTGTAGGCCTTATTCTTCTACTTCTACAGTGTGACTGGCGACTTCAACTCACACCACATTGTCTACATTTCGATACTGGGTGATTGTTACAGGCTTCACAATTTGAGCTTGATGTGTGTATCTGAGACTGTTCCTTTACTGCCCCCAGTGGGTGTTTCTGCGGCTAGAACGGTGCACAGCTGCATCGGAACGACGAGGACGACGGCACAGGTTTGGGGTTGCTTTTCTGCTGGGTTGCGTTGTTTTGGGTTTCACAAGCTCGGTGTTGATGGTTGTGGATAATGGGGGGTGAATGTGTGTGTTGTGAGGTGCTAGGGAGCGGCCCGTGTCAGATCGCTGTAGAGCAGTGTGAGTTTGGTGGTGTGGGGGTGGGGAGGTGGTGAGTTATGTCCCGGCTGCGTTAGAAGATTGTGTTTATCGTCTCTGTAGTTGAGTGTCGGAGAGGGAATGTGAAGTGCTGGTGTTTATTTCTTGAACGTTTCAGACGATGTACTGAAGCCGAAAAATGATGTCAACGGTAAGTCATACCGTTTCTTATCTTTTGTCGGTCTTTTGAGGTGGGCTTAATGTTTGACTAATGTGGCATTGTGTCTTCGTTTTAATGATCATGCGAACGATGTGTTCTTCCTCTGTCGCGCTAGCTGTGACCTTGTCTTTGGCAATTAAGCTGGAAGAGTAGGGGAATGTCTCTTTGTGATTGTTCTGGATTCTGATAATGGTGCGACTTCTTTTGCTGTCTGGCTTCCACTTTCTCATTACTTTTGGTGGTCGTGACTTCTGTCATCCCTCTCTAGTTCTCTCCTTTACCTCTATTTGGAATGTAGGAGTTCTTTGTCAGGTCTTAACCAGTCCCGTCCCACCCTCTTGTATTCTGTCTTTCGGTCGCATGAGCTGCAAAGAAGTTCGTATCACTTTGTACTGTATGGGCTCTTTAGATTATGTCCTTACTCTAGATTACTAACAACCGGCGAGGATAATGCGAAGGTGCTTAATTGAACGTGCCTCATGAAAGCCATCTGCACCGACTTGCTATATTTTGTAGTAGGGGATACTATGTTTTTATATTCTTGAATCTTAAATAGGGTTGTTTGTGTGACAGGAACTTTGAAATCTCTTAACGGCAGCTCAGATGCTAGTGATGGCTGCAGCTATGCGTGGTCTGATAGCTCTGCCCTCACTTCAGGGCGTCACAAAGTCTTCCTCGTCTCTGGATTCATCAAGATTCTGCAGACCTCTTGTCTCGTGCTCTCTTAGGCTCACCTCAACACCTGGCTTTGGAAAGGGCCGCGTTATTTCAGGTATTCTCACTTTCTTAGCTCACGAAGGATGCATTGTAAGTTGTTTGAAAATATCGCGCGAAGAGTAACACTTCATTTTGGAGTTCTAGGTTGGAGAACATTTTGACGAGCGGTATCAAGCAACACCACAAGACATATTTGTTGTGCATTAGCCATTTTCTTGGAGTTTGTTTACAATTCCTTCTCGAGTCTTAGGGTAGAGTGGCACTTTGTACTCTACTTACAAATTCTCATTTTTCCAGTAAAATCACGTGTATCCCCCTTACGGGCGTCGGCGTCTTCTGCACCCCTTGGAGGCGATGAGCCAAGTTTAAGTCTGGGAGGTGGCGGAAATTGGACCGGACTTGGCAGAGGAGATGGCTGTGGTGGTGGCGGTGGCGATGGTGAGTCACACGGAAAAGGAGAAAATGAAGAGGGTTCTCCTAGTGGAATATTCGGTACTCTCTGGAAAGGTTGGGATGACAGGGTTCGAGCTGACCCTGAATTTCCCTTCAAGGTTTTGATGGAGCAGGTTGTTGGAGTGGGAGCATGTGTGCTAGGTGATATGGCTACTAGGCCTAACTTTGGTCTGAATGAGCTCGACTTCGTCTTCTGCACACTTGTAGTTGGTTCTATACTAAATTTCGCGTTGATGTACATGCTAGCCCCAACATCCGCTGTTGGAGCAGTAGCCACCCGTCTTCCAGGAATTTTCGCCAGCTGTCCAACTGGTCACATGTTTGAGGCTGGAAACTATTCGTTGTTCGATCGTGCTGGTACCTTCTTGTATAAAGGAGGGCAATTTGCAGTGGTTGGATTTTGTGCAGGTCTTGTGGGTACTACCATCTCTAACACCTTAATAATGATAAGGAAGAAGATGGATCCTGACTTCGTTGTGCAAAACAGTCCTCCGCCAACGCTCTTGAACGCTCTTACATGGGCCCTTCACATGGGCTTGAGCAGCAACTCCCGCTACCAATCCTTGAACGGTCTGGAGTTTGCCCTTGCAAATAAGCTACCTCCATCAGTCTTCAAGACTGGCGTGTTGGTGGTTCGCGCTCTAAACAATGTGGTTGGCGGTTCCTCATTCGTGGCACTTGCCCGCATTACAGGCTCTCAGAAATCTGGCCTATCTGCCAGTTCTCCAGTAGAAGAGGAAGTAGATGCCGCTGAGATGAATTTGTTGGCAGCTGTGGACGAGACTGTTGGAACTCGTGGATGATGAGGTAATTAGATCGCATTGCGGACTTGGATTCCCGCCGTTGGTCTGGTTATGGGTAGCTTGATATCAGCAGGTTTTCGCGATCTGTTCAGTTTTGCTCAGTTTGAAGCTCATCGGTTACACGAGTAAGAGAGGTAAAGTTTGACCAAGTGGCTTGATCTGTGTTCTTCTAACTACCCATAAGCTTCCAGCTTTCAGGTTGTGGGTCGTTTTGACTCCTCCATACTACATATCAGTTACAGTAGGATGAGGTTTTAGGTTGCCACTGTCAATGAAGAGCCTGTTTGTGAGGTAACGGATTAGTGCAGTTGTGCTAGAATTCTCAATTTCCGCAATGTGGCTGTAATGATCTGGCCGTGAACTTGAGATTATTGTTACACTGTTGTGATAAATGAGAAATGGTTATCGATCGGTTCGCTAGTGATCTACTCAAGCAGATTTTGTGCCTTTGCAAAAGTTTTTGGGGCGGTTTGACCTATAATCTACCCACAGACGCCATGAATGTGTAGATTGAATTGTGCAAATCTTCATTTGTGCAATGTGCTTCTAAAACATACTCATGTTTTAAAGAGAAAATGAGTAGCACAAGGGCTACGATTTGATCATCATTTGGCAGCTAATGTTCTTACTAGATTTTTAGTCCAAAAAGCATTTAGCACTCTATTGGATTTACTCCCGTCACCAACTAGATTCGGACTGTACAGGGTATTATCTGCTCGCACTAAACAACTTTTCGCTTTTGCCACTCTGCCAGAGTGACATATTGATGGCTTCGATCGTTTTGTAATCATTTTATATTTGAAATCCTTGAGATTGAGAACAAGATCCAAAGTCATGGTTAGTTCATCTAATGATTACGATCTACACACGTAACAAATCTCCTGTCACGAAAAAGCTTTGAAACGGGTTAGAAGAAAAGTGGCGATTGTGGGAGAATTGAATCTGCTAGATCGGAAGTATTCCATATCAAGTGTTAATAAGTGAAATCTATTCGTTGTAATTTCTTTTTACTTTCAGTTAAAAAATTTATAATCTTGCGATGCGAATTTTTGCAAAACTCCATGGCTATAGAAGATATATTCCCTTTCTATACCATATTTTTCAAGGAAAAGACCAATAGTCTATTACATTCTATGGCCGGATACTGAGATCGATGAGTATTGATGCAACCCACGAGCTACTTGTGAGCTTTGTGTGATGAGATGTGGACAAAGTTCATTGTGTTTTCCATATATTTAGAAAACAACCATAATTAGATGATGACTACTTTTCATTCGCACTCATGCACACTCCGTTCATACCATCATGTTTCATCGTAATCATTTGCAACACACTGCTACTGCTACCAAGATGAACTAAATGCAGAAATATTATATGTGTATGTTAGACATCGGTCGTATTAGATACCAGTAGTTTGCGAATAGAGACAGACATGATAAGGCAGAGAAACAATACATTACGGTATCACGCAAATTAGGTTATGTACATAAAACTATCAATGTGACGCTTCCCAAATTGCGTAAGTGGGGATACTCAGAAAACTTGTTTCTCAAGCTGAGGGTATCAGCAAGTAACCATCACATACAGTCCCAACTGATTTCATGTAGGAAATAATCCTCTGTTGGAAAACAACAAATATGAGTAGTGATGAAGGGCAGACCAGAGCCAATCTGATCATCAGTTGTAATTTTGTATGAGCCGACAATAAAAGTAGACATTCTACTTCTGTCCTAGAATACAAATAAATTATCAGTAAAATAAGCATGATGACATGGAATACATCGACTGTTCTTTCAGTGCTACATTGCCACCTTGCTCGAGGACTCTTCATTTTTTTCGTTAATAGAAACTTCCTTCGACGGACAATGTGATGCGATTACCTTCAAGGAATGCAGGAAATATCGTTCAAACCACTTCGTGCAATTGGACGATAATTGGCTTATCGAAAGTAATAGCAGGAGCCGAGGACGTATGTCTGGATGATCGCGGTGAGCTCATAGCAGCATTTCTAGTCGCGATCGAAGCATACCTTGCAGTATAATTGTGGCTACGGCGCAATCGGTTGTGACAGCTCCTGATATCCAAGCTTGTGCCGGAAAGCTGGCGATGCAGGGGTTTGCTCGATCTTGATTGAACCAGAAAGTAGACCAAGTGGTGTCGAATGTGTAACTGCTGCACTGAATCCCATCTGGTTCTCAGAATCGCAAGGGAGATCTTGCTAAATCCTTAATACATGCATTCGACGGCCTCCAGTCCACGACCAAAGGGCTGTTTGGGGAGCTAGTCTCGTCTGAGGAGGGGCAGTCCTGCTCGTTTTCCGGAACCCACCACACACGAACATCGCCATCCATGCTTCCACTGTAGACCATAACCCCCGACCCTAAGGCTGGCACAGCGCAGAGCGACTTCACAGGGCCAGTGTGTCCGGTCATCACAGATACACAAGAATGAAGGCCGTCGTCGTTTCTTCTCCATACCCTTATGGTCTTGTCCGATGAGCCGCTGATGACCAGATTCGACAATGTGCACAGACACAGAACGGACATCCTGTGGCCTGGCAATGCGCCAACCGCGTTGTACTGTTTGATGCCGTTCACCTCTTTGATCTTCCACACAGTCACTGTCTGGTCGCTGTGGCCTGAGTAGAGAACTTTTCCGTCTGGACTCAGTGCAAGAGTGTTCACGGGTGACTTAGCTTGTAAGGTAGCGAGTAGTATGTGTTGACATTGCTTGCCGCTGCTTTCTATTCCCTGTTTCTGAAACACTTTAATGGTGGTGTCAGTGGAGCCGCTGTAGAGAAGGTTGTTTTGCCTATCTATCGCAAGCGCGTTTACCGCGTCAATGTGTTCATTGAGCGACTCTAGGCACTTCCAATCTTTTAGGCGCCATACCTTCACCGATCTGTCCCAGGAACTAGAGTACAGCACGCCATTGCCAACTACAAGGGATGTAATGCTATCGTAATGGTTAATCCAAAGAGCCTTGTGATGCCGCCGAACCTGGAAATATCAAATCATGCTGGAGTTTAGATTCCAATTTAAAACCATTATTTTGAACTCTACAGTGAACTGATTGCATGCAGATGATCTCAAGGTGACTGCGAGAGACGCTGAACCTACCTGGACGTAGTTCTTCGGGGGCAAGAAGTTCATCATGTAGTCTTTAACGGATGGTAACGTGGTAGCCAACTTATGCTGTTTGGGATCGTTCTTCGAACGACGCCACACTCTAATTTTGTGGTCGTGATGCGCACTGATGACTTCGTCATCGTAAACAACTAAGCATTTCACCGCCGCTTTGCCACGTCCGAATCTTGGTGCCTCTTCCATGTTGGAGTGATCCCTTACTCGAATGTCACCTTTGTTGGAGCCTGCGTAGAGAAACTCTTCTGACAGGGCGAGCGCGACGACATGCATATCCTGACCATGTAGAACTGTCAAACATCTGTGGGATCCGCGGCTAACAGGCCAGCTGCTCGTACTAGTCCTAGCTTCCGAGCTCGACGTGCTTGTTCGGGAGTCCATACTGTCTTGACCAGCCAGTCTGATTAGTAATACCATGTTTCTTCACTGAAATAGGTACTGTACGCGATGATTCTCGGGTTGACGTGAGAGAAAATTGGATGATCTGAATGCAGACTACAAATCTGGAATACGCCAGAGATTACGAAAACCGATTCTTCAACAATCCAAAGAAGTAGTTTGAATTCTACGAGAGAAATATCCCTGTTGTTCTCAGAATAAAAACCTTGTAAAAAGTGAACTCCACAATGCAAAGCCGATACATTCACAAAGGTGATTTTTTGCGGCGCATCATACAAATCCTTGGAACTGATTAGTACCTCTAGCTATCAAAGCGATACGAGCACCGACCGGGGCGCGTACCAACTGGAACGCGTAACCGGAGGCCCACTATGAAGCGGTTCCAAAATAGCCCACCACTAGTAGCTATCAAATGAACTGGGGCTTTCGACAGCAATTACTACCTTGGCCTACACCCCAACACAGCTCTAACTCTTGATTCAACTCTTCCAGCTCTCTCAAACTGAAACAAACATGCTTAGTATTCATCTATCTTCTGTCTTCAGATTGTGTCTTTGTTGTGAACTTCTCAATGAATCAGTTTAGTTTCTTGCAACGTCTACCGGCCAAAGAGCCACATAAAAATCTGCCGCTTCGAAAAACAGTAGCCTATTAAACTTCAAAGCGCCTCAGTGGTCAGCTTCACGAAATGTCCGCAGTGTTTCAGTGAAAACGTGACGTGCCTTGAAACTCATGCAATCCTCGAACACCCAAATCTAAACCCCTCTCTTCCTGACAGCGTTTTCTGTGCATCCTAGAATCATGTGCTGTCGTGTAAATATGACATGCATCCGCACCGAACACATTTAAAACCAATACTTCTACCCGTTCACACCAGAACCCATTAGAGCCAATTCGGTGTAGCACTCTCTTGTAAAATATTCGCCGCAATTGGCTTATATAAATGTTGTAATCATATGATTCACAACTAGGCTGTGGACTGTTCTGTAATATCAAGACAAACATCCAAATATATCCATTTAGCCCTGACAACAGCGATGATTGAACACCGGCCTTTTGCACATCTATCAAAAAGTGAACGACTCCCACAGCTGAGAAGCGTGTCGAAGGAGGCCGTCTGTGGGGAAGACTAATATCTACAAAATCACGCGTCCAATCCTCGATCCACGCCAACGGTAGGTAGATCGAACGAGTCGTAGAGTTCTGAGAGGGTTTTCACGGGTCCTCCTACGGCGGGCAGACAGGCTAGACGTGCACGCTCTGTAAAAATTTGTCGATCGGGTCCACACATCGCGCTGTCGACGACTCACTGATCCAGGTCGCACAAATCACCTTTTCATTATCAGAAAGTGGGCGATCGTCTGGTCCAGGGGGCTGATTTCAGGAGCTTTGTGAGCAAGGCCTTGTGGTGACGGCGGTTTCCCTCCGACTGGGGCCCATGTGTGACTTAAACTGATGGAGTGGCGCTCCTCGTTTTGAAAGCCTGGCGACGACGCTCGCGTCCCCGCAGGCTCCTCCGCATTCATGGAGGAGCTCGTCGGAGCTTGTCGGAGTCTCCACAGACTTGCTTCTGGCGGAGTCTGAACTTCAGAATCCAACCCAACTAAACCATCGTCACACACTCGTCCTTCGAAAGCTGAAAACAGTCAACAGTCCATTACTCACTTGCACGAAAACAACCAGCGGTGATCATTTTCCTGCAGATTTTCACAGCAAAACAACAGATCCTCTTTTCATCAAGAGCAGAAGTTGGGATCTTCTCCTTCAAAGCAGCATTATTACATTCAGCTTACATCAGAGTAGTTGACATGCCCGGATGCTGGAACTTGTTTGTTGAATGCAATATCTATAGCTTGCTTTAGTTGCGAAAGGTTAGCTAGGACTTGATAGTAGTATAGAATTTGATAATGATAAGTTGGATTTGTCTTAGTCTAGAGGTTGGTGTTTTGGAATGAAAGAGTTTTATAGAGAATAAAGCCAAAAAATATCAACATGTATCAATTGATATGCAAATATTATTGGAAGTAAGGTTTGGTTTTATTTTTCATATTTTTTTTGTCCATTTTGTTGGTTTTTTATATGTGTATCATATAATATTTCTTTATTTTAAAAAGCCAAAATTTCCTAAGTACTAAATTTATATTTATTTATATATATATATATATATATATATATATGCAGAAATAATAAAGAGATCCAAATTTTTACTAAAGCAACCCACTCTATCTTAACCATCATTGCACCCTTGTAGCCCCATCCCTATTTTCAGCTATTCTCTATTCCCAACCATTGCTAAGAACGGTGTCCGGGTAGAGAGAGTTTGATTCAAGAAAGCGTTGGGCTTCTGGCTACCACTAAATGCTCAATCAAGTCTAAGATATAAAAATACCAAGTTTATACATATAATATTTTCCCTTTTTGGACAATTACATCAAAACATAAGCCCAAATATCAAGAAAACATCCAAATGTATGTTAAAGTATCTTAAAACCTTATATATCCTTATGAGAAATATTTCCCGAACTTCAACAGCTCATATCTCATGATCGGACTGTCCAGAAAACTCTAAATTTTACATGAAGTATTGATATACTTTCAAAAACTTCCACAAAAAAAATCAACAGCAAATTCATTACGGATCTTGAGATATTACCAAAACTCTAACAGTAGCTTTAAACCCTAGCTTACATACACCCGCATGCTAATTTCTTCATATCTCACAAAATAAGTACTCAAATACCATGAAACTTTGATCTATAGCTTTTTAACTTAGTAACCCACACTTATGGAAATTTTGAGCCAAAAATTCGTTCAAAAATTCAAGATATGGCTCCAATCATTACTATCAACAAAATGACTCACTTACTACCTTTGAATTACATGTGCTACCTTCAAATGTCTATAACTCCTTCATTCAGACTTGAAATTTGTCAAACAGTATATGTTAAGTGTAGCCTAGAAAGTGTCCTCTCCAATTCGAGTTGCCGATCTTTTATTTCTCTCCGTACACATATGTAATGCTTCAAAGAGTGACAGTAGGTACAAATTTGACACTTTAACTTTGAACACCTATATCTCTTTCACAAATACTCGAAATCACACAAACTCTTCACCCAAATTATACCTAAAATCCTAAACTTGCTGATCCTAGCCTCTAAAGCTCGAATGACTTCGAAAAAGAAATCCTAATCTCTAATAAGACCTCGGGCATCCTCCTTGAAGCCCATTGGGCATGGCCTTCGACCAATAAGAATGAAGATCCCCATTCCTTGCCTTCATCCAACCATGCCTTGGTTTTATCCCTTCCAATAAGCCTCCTACTAGTTAAGATTCTCTTCTTCAGGCTCTAATCTCCTCTCAAGGCTTTATATTAAACATTTAGGTCTTATGATTTTTTTTTTAAATACTATAATCAAAAAGATATACTCAAAATAAAGTTTCTTAAATCCACTTTTTTTAAATTAATCTATTTAACCATTCTGACATGCACCAAGTCTTATGAACATATTATATGTTCTAATTAATTTTTACATACTGTAAATTTTTACAGTATGACAACGGGAGTAGGAAGTTGGGAACATAGCAAACAAGGACAATGGTTGGAAACAAATGAATGATTGGGAACAAGGAAACAACTTGGAATGGGCCACAGTTGGCAACAAAGGAATGGCTAGGAAATGAGATGGAGTTGAAAGGATACAATGATGGTTTAAACATGTAGGTCACTTTTGTAAAAATTTGGGTTGCTTTATCATTTCTCTCTCTCTTCCTATCTCTCTATCTATCTATTCATGACCTATATTCCTAAAAAAAAATCATCATATTGATATTTTTTCTTCTTAGAATAAAAAATATTAATCTTGAGGTTTAGAGTGATGCTTTAATACATATCTTATTAAAGAAGTTTAGGTTTGGATTAGAGAGTAATCATTGATTATTAAAATATCCATATATGTTTATTTGTGTGATTTAGAATACTAGAGATTCTTTTGTTAAATCATAAATTAGAATTTTTTAAAATTGATAATTTTTATAATTCTAAATTATACATATTTAATTTTTTTAAATTACATATGAATTAAAAAAAAGACTCTTAAGTGATTTGTATGGATCATTTACATATTAGAAATTCTTCATAAGTACATAAAACTCTTTATTTTTATTTTTAATATGTTTGAATAATACAAGAGTGTATTTTAAAATATTAAAAAAATGATTTTTTAGAATGTATCTTTTTTCAATAATCATAATTTAAAAAATAAGTATTCTAAAACTCTTAAAATAATAAACTATTGTTTTAGTTCATATTAAAAGTTGTATTGGAATTTCTGAGCAAAAGTTTTTTCAAACAATGTCAGGAATATATTGAGCCTTGAAGATTTATATATATATATATATATATATATGTATATATGTATACATTCACATACAAACAAAAAATTACAAAACTACTTTAAACAGGAAAAAATACATCCTAACAAAAGCATACTTGTAAACAAAAGAACTGTAACAATGTTGCTTGCATCATGGATCTGTTAGAGATGCTTAACAAAAACAAATTGAGAAAGGACATTAGCTTTTCATTAAATTACCAAATAGAATGTTTCACAATGTATGGGACCATCATTCATAAATAGAAAGTACAACCTCAATACATATCATGCATTGACGTTTGGCAACATTTTCAAAATTATTATTATTATCTTTTTAAGTCGTTCTTTTTTGAGGATTATACATGGACAAAAAGTTAGGGTTCTCATTCCATGTGACCCATGGAGGTTGACACAAAGGAGGCATTCAACACCCATGCCGGATGTATTGAAACCGCTTCCACTGTAGCACCATCCACATGTCTATTCATTTGTGGGCCTTGGCTATACAAAATCCTTTTTGTACAACATTTTGATACCAAAGAGAGAAATTCCAAAAATAAAATAAAAATAAAAATAAATCCCTAGTGCAATAAAATACTGAATCCTTCCTTTTCCAGTTTGATTTATTTTTTTATTTTTTTGAGTTCATTAAAAGTTAATATATGTATATAGTAAATTGTTGGAGGGACATGACTGAGGATCCAAAAGAAATACATTCGTGTGACCTCAAACAGGATATTGTTTTGCAGGAAATAACCAAAGGACTCGTCTTTTGAGCTAATTCTACCTTTGTTTTTTTTTTGTTTTGTTTTGTTTTTTTTTTTTTTTTCTTGTGATTGCCTATCTAAAATTAACAAATGATTACAAATAGACTTCTTCTAATTTACACACATAAGTGGCACTTTAATATTTTGGCAAAACCAAACTCCCCTAACTCCAATGAAGCTTCTGCAAAGTCCAGCACAAGTATTGTGTGAAATTATGCAAATAACTGTTGTCTCACATTTAATTTTTTTGTTGCAAGATCCATGATTTTGGAGATTCCAGCTTTTAAACAAAATTAATGGGAACACACAAACAAACAAACAAACAAACAATAAAATAAAATAGGTTCTCAGCATATTTGTCCTTCCTTTGTTCCTTCCTTTTGTTTGTTTGAGCTTCTTCTTCTCTCTCAACTATTATTGTTGTCAACGTTGCTTTAAGTTTTATAAAAACATATGTATGATATTCAAAGTGGATGCATTGCAATGAAAATAAAAAGAAATAATAATAATATATTTTTTTAGACAATACATTTTTTTTAGTTTCATCTTTGAACTTGGGACAAAATCACATGAACCTTGCACATGTTTTTATGGGAATATACTTGGAGAAAAGGAGATTCTTAAAGGAAGGTATTTCATTTGGTGTTTATATTTTGGCTCACTAGGCAAGCCACACCCCACATGCATGAGAATGAAATCATAACTTCTCAACATTTGTAGCAAGACTCTTTTTGCCTTCAAGCCCATAAATTGGCATTTTAGCACCATGCTTTTTTGGTAAAAGAATACTTAAAAGGACTATTCCAAGCATCCACATTGTCCTATATTCGCTTTTTCC